TGTGCTTTGCTAAGCTTGTTCTAAGTAGGTGCTCTAGACCACTGAGCCATCTCACCAGCCCCACCAATTTGATTTGAAATTGTCTCATTACTATTTGTCTCTCAATAAAATTATGGGAAAAAATTTTAGTTTTAAAAGGGAGATCTTACTTTAAAAAAAAAAGAAACTAGTACCTATAAATTATAAAATAATCAAATACAGGATGGATTTTCAATCTCATTCCACCAAGGTAGAACTAACAATTTGGTGGGTTTCTAACCATTTTTAAGAATTTAAACATATATGTACTTTTTGAGGAGTTAAGCAGACTTAGAAAATTGCTTTATTTAATCTTACTTCATGGACATCTTTCAGTTCTAAGGATTGTCATACATTTACGTTACAGAAAATATTCCTGTTATTAAAAAATGCTACAATGAATACTCTGATAAGAAAAAGACTCTATACTAAATATACCTTTTCTCTGCAGAAAATATACAAAACTGTACATTAGAAAAAAGCTATAAATGTCACTATTTTACAACTTACCTTTTTTATTGCTCTGTATTTAGGAGTTTGGTATGTAGTAAATTCTCTGGATTATAAGCAAGCTCATTAGTTACTCTAGAATCACTATAATAAATAGCATTGGAGGGCTCTTATTCTAATCTATAAAATAAAATTAAACTGAAGCACAACTGTTTATTAAAGAAACCTTCATTTGGCCTGTGTCAAAATATTATTACACCTTTCATTTTCTATTTTTTTGACCTCAATGATTCAACATGTAAAATTATTTCTGCTTCCAAACTGAAATTTGAAGTAAAAATATTTTGCATTAATGTCTTCTCTAATTTCCAAAGTACTCACATTACTTCATTTCCTCTTCATACTACCTATAAAGAGATTTTATTCTCTATTCTCTTAACATTCAGTTTCAAAGACAGAGCTTATTCTGGCTATCTGAAAGAAAGAGAATGTATAATTTACAATGGTTAAAAACCTAACTACTTGGCTTTGGAAATGGCTCTGTGATTTTACTTGCATAGGACAGTATCTGTCCATGGGAATTTCCTTCAAGAAAGATGTCCAGGCCAGGAGGACATACCATTAAAATCTAATTTAAGGGTCAAAAGTGCTTGCCTGGTAAGTGCAAGGTCCTAAGTTCAATCCCCAGTACCGCAAAAAATACAATCTAATTTAAGATTTAACAAATTTTTCACATCTGGAAACCTGAGCTCTTCCATGAAATTCAGTCCATTTCAGGGACTGAAGCAAGGTGTTCTCTGGAACTAGGATGTGGCTAAGTATTCTAGTTTTTAAAAAATAGTATCTGACTAAAAGTAAACAAGTAATAAAAGGGACTTGAGCTATAAACAAGGTGGGACAGATGGAACCCATTTTCACTGTAGTTGAATATGGAACTTCCATGTACTTTAAGATAAGATCAGCCACAGATAAAACAAAATTAAATATTCTAGAGCTGACTCTGTACTGGGTCACAGTTATTTGTGTATCACTTTGTACCAGTAAATCTGTCCCTCTAATTTAAATACTAAGGGCACAGACTATTTTTAAGCTTTTAAGATTAATTAGGGTACACATTACTTTTTAAATACATAAATATGTTGGAGCACAAAGAATTCTTAGGGGAAAAAAAGAGACTTTAACTTCAAATTAACATTTTGCCCAGTGTGTGGTATGGTAGTCCAATCCTATAATCCCAGGACTCAGGAGACTGAGGCAGAAAGATTGCCAAGAGTTTGAGGCCACCCTGGGTTACATAGTGCGTTCAAGACCAGTCTGAACTACATGGTAAGATCTTATCTCAGAAAAAAAAGAAAAATAGAAAGGAAGGAAAGAAGGAAAAGAAAAGAGAAAAGAAATTAACACTTTAAAAGCTTAGAAATCCTTCACTGAATTATTTAAAGAGAGGATTATTTTGGCTAACCAAAACTCTGCCAAGTAATAAAACTAATAAAACCAGAGAATAAAATTAATAATGTACATAATCCAATACCTTTCCATCGATGGGAACACCCAGTTCCTCTGAAAACAAGGGGTGCATTATCCATTTGTAGGCTTCTTTTAACTGAACTACATCACTTCTCCCCAGCGACAAACTCTGCTTTCTGAATAACAAAAATCAATTCACCAATATAAAAACTTCACTTTTTCTTTAAAATATAATAATTTAAAAATTAATTGAATGCCTATGATAAGTCATATTTAATACATTAGATAGAAAGCAGAGAATAGATTATACCAAGATTTCTTACCTCATGGACCTATATTCTAGTAAAATCAAGAAAGTATTTTTTAATGGCACATAAATCAATTTTTAAGCTTCCATGATAAAAACACACTATGCTTTTTTGAACTGGAATTGCCAGATCCAAGATTTGTATATTCTAGAAAGGTGAAAAAGAAATGACTGTTTCAGCTCATCAACTATAAAACTGTCTATTACAATAGTCATAACCATGTTTTAAATGTTTGCATCTCTCTTGCTGAAAATGGGCTTTATTTCCAAGAAATCAATGTAAAAGCTCTACCTTTTCCCCCTTTACTGATGAGCAAGAAATATCAAAGCCTGAAGCATCAATGTTTTGAAATGCTCATTAGTGTAACAGCTGATAAATATCTGAATAAATACTTCCCGTTCTTTAAAAATTTACTTATGAGTCAATACATGGGTTTTGGAAGTCCTTATTAACATATCTAGCTTTGGTTTGTAAGAGAAAGCAAGTGAGGTAAGAGGAAAGAAAAACATGCTATGCTATTTCTAAAACTGCTCTACTCTGTTGAGAACATTGAGATATTATTAGCAAGTTAACAAGCTCACATAATCCAAATAAATAGCCTTATGGCTATTTACAGGGCTACTTTTAATAAAAAAGATGTTAGAGTCAACTTGTAAATCTCCACACACCTTTCCTTCCCCAAGTACTAGGGATTGACCCCTGGGCATTACCCATGCTGGGCAACTACTCTACCACTAAGCTACATCTACAACCTTCTTTACACTATTTTCTGACAGGATCTTACTAAATTGCCCAGACTAGTCTTACATTTATAATCCTCTTGCTTCAGCTTCCTAAATGGCTAGGATTATAAACACGTACCCCTTGCCCAATTTGAATCATGCTTTTTAATGTCTCATTTTCACTGACAGAAATTACTATTTATAAGCAATATCTATTTTAATATAATTATGCGAGACTAAAGATACTACTAATTTAAGTTAGAAAACAAAAAAGCAATTAATGATCAAATTAATGATCTGGAAAAAATATATAAAAACTAGAAACTTTCAAAATACAAACGAAAAGGTAGTTCATCCTCCCATTTGGTACCTGGCTGAGAATGTAACTGATTACAAATGTGCTTTCACATGCTTTGGGGTTATAGTTATAGAAGGGAAAGGAACTCACAAGCAACAAGGATGCAAGGTGAAAACACTGAGAAAATGGCATGCTCTCACTATGATAACAAATTTCTAAAAACAGAGGAGCAAATTTTGTTATTACACCAGAATTGTAAACTTTTGTGACTAATAAAACCTAGCTAACCCCATACCATTGATAAATGTCATTATCATTATGATTCTAAAAGTGCAGACATCAAATTCAGACAAACAAAACACAAATTACTTTTACCATGAACTCCTTAACCAAGTATGAGATTCTAACTTTTCTCTCTAGAATTTACAGAAAACTCCAACAATCATTCAGCCCTTTTATGTTTTTTAACTTTTTGAGACATGGTTGTAGTTCAGGCTCACCTTGAAATCACTATGTAATGTAGATTAGTCTTGAACTCATAGAAATCCTCCTGCTCTAGTCTCCCAAGTACTGGAATTACAAACATGCACCACCACACCTGGCATGGTCCTTTTTATGTTATAGAATTTTAAGTTTCAAAATCCAAAAGGTCTGGAAAATTAATGTTTTTGGAAAATCTTGGTTGCTACCAAATTTTAGTATGAATACAGGAAGCTATTTACTTTGTTTACCAAACTTAGTGTGAATATTAAGTTTCATTATAGAAATATTTATATGGTTGGTATATGGTAGCACACCGAAAAAGAAGTGTGCTACCTATGATAGTTAACATCATACTATATTCCTAAAATCCAAAAACTCTAAACTCCAAAAGACATCTGGCCTCAAGGGTTTCAGATGAAGGACTATAAATTTTATGTTTTCAGTGAGTTGTATCTGTATATAAACTCACTGTTGTTCTACCTTAACTAAAATTTTAAACTTTATATTTATGGCCTAGATTAATAATTTAGTTTTGAAGACCAATGTATAACTTATTATTTTAAGGCAATTCCCAAAATTCATTATACAATGCTTACTGCATACAAAGTATGTACTTATAGTCACATTAAATCTATTTCTTTTTTATTTTTATTTTTTGGAGGAGCAGGGGATTGAACCCAGGCCTTTGACCTTGCCAGGAAAGCACTTATTCTACTGAGTCATCCCCCTGGCCTTTTTATTTCTTCTTCTTCTTCTTTTTTTTTTTTTTTTTTTTACATTAAATCTACACATATAAAACAATTCATTTCAACAAACCATTAATACACTATGCAAGTAAGCTAACTGAATAAATCTGACACCCTAGATTTATACAATAAAATTATTTCTCTTGGAGCTAGTGAATTCATGCTAAGAAAGGAGAGACTAGTAGTAAAAGTACTTTAGGAATCAGGCAACATATTTAAATGGTAGTGAAAACTCCCTACCAAAATTACTTACCCCATTTCCTGTTTTACCAGCAACCATGCTGCATGCTATAGGCAATTCAGTCACAGCCAAAAAGGAAAGAAAAGAGGAGAAATGTTCAGTAAAATTAAGTTCCAATATCATTACCAAAGTGCTTAACTAATTTGCTAATCAAACCCCCCTCATTTGAGTTTGGAAATGCTGCAGTGACCTCAGTCTCATTTAGAATAAGAAATAAGGTAAGATTTCACTTTGCAATGCTCTCTTGCTATGGCCAGGAATTCAACAGGGTATCCCCCTTCTTGCTATAGATTTCTAGTTCTCATCAGTGAGGTATGGGTGGCTTATATTTTTTCTTTAAATATCTTATTATTTCATGGGGGAAAGCCCACAGTGACTTGATGCATAGACCCCACAACACAGAATTGAAGGCTCCTGTTTTGGGTTTTTTGTTCTTGTTTCTGAGTCAAGGTCTCTCTATGTATTCCATGCTGTCCTCAAACTCACAGCACGCCTCCTGCCTCAGCCTTCCAACTGCTAGGATTGCAGGCATGAGCCACCACGACCAGCAGTTTTTTGTTTTTGTTTTTCAATAGAGATACTATTTTTAACTCTACTTGATTCACAATATTCACACTTCTGTGCTCAAGAGTTAAATGTAAAATATGTGCAGCTCACCCTGAAATACAACAAAAGCTAAGATACAGTCATGGGTGGATGAATAAATGGATGGCTAGATACAGTAAATATAGAAAAGTAGTAACAGTGGGGCATAGTGGCACATGCCTATAATCCCAGCACTTGGGAGGATGAGGCAAGAAGATCAGTGCAAGTTAGAGCCCAGGCTATACTACATAATGAGTTCTAGTCTAACCTGAACCACATAGTGAGACCCTATCTAAAAAAAAAACAAAAAAAACAAAAAAACAAAAAAACATATGTGTGTGTGTGTGTGTGTGTGTGTATGTGTAGTAACCATCATAGGATCTAAGTGGGTTATGGCATTCATTGACAATTCTTCACCTTTTCTATATATTTGAAAATTCTCATACTATTTTAGAGAAAACATTCTGCAAAGGATTAATAAAAAACTAGCCTGGCATAATGGCACATGCCTCTAATCCCACAATCTTGAGAAGCTGAGGCAAGAGAACTACAAGTTCTAACTGGACTTGGTTAACTTAGTAACTTAGACCCTGTCTCAAAGCAAACAAACAAAAAAAATTAAAGGTCAAAAATGTAGCTCAAGGGCCAGAGAGATAGCTGAGCGGATTAAATGCCTTCTTAGGCAAGCACAGGGACTGGGGTTTGATCCCTGGTGCCACATGCCATGCTGACCCCACCTTGGACATGCTGAGCTGGCAACCAAGTCTGGGCATGGTAGTGCACTCCTGTAATCCCAGCACTTGGTAGGCTGAAAACAGGAGGATCACTACAAGTCTGAGCTGCAATAGTGAGACCCATGTACCAAATACATTTTTTTTTTTAAATGTAGCTCAGTGTCAAGGTCCTGGGTTCAACCCCCCAGTATGAGAAATACACACACACACACACACACACACACACACGAAAAATTACACTGAAAATTATCACATTCACAATCATAGTTGTTTTATGAAACTCATAAAATTTTTATGTTCCATAGTAAATACGTGTCACTAAGATTTCCCAGTTTGCCATTAGGCTCCTGCAGTTTTCAGCTCAGAAAAAAAAGAGAATGGTGTGTCTGCCACAATATAAGACATTTTGTGAACGTAATAAAGTCAACACATGTAAGTCAATAAATATCACATGTGATGTCTGCTTTTGCATGTCACAAAAACAGCCAGTCATTATCACTCACATCCACTTCAGACACAACTTAATACAAAGTACACCAAAAAATGTATGCACGTCAGGAAAAGAAAAATAGTATGATGTTTTGCCAACAGATGGCATTACCCTACAGGATGGAGGACCCTAGATGATGCCACATATCCTAGAAAACCCACTGCACTGTTGGCCTTTAGAGAAGAAACTGAAAATGCATGGGCAGCAATCTCAATGACCAAGATTACCCAAGCAGCCAATTCACTGTACTGAGAACTGTCTGGAAGTTAACAGGCACCACTTCACTCACTGCTTGTAATTATAGAAGCCAACAGTAACTTACATTCATCTCATGATCTCTTCATCAATTTAGTATTAAAGTATCTGTATCAGTTTTTTTCTGTAGTATACATTTTTTTCAGCAGAGTGTGTATATGTATGGTATATGCAGCACCTTTTCCTTTTCAATAAACAAGAGTTCCTTCAAATGATCAGTAGGGTACTAAACACATCCAAAGACTTATGATCATTCAGAAGCATTAGGTGTATTAGTATGTTCAGATTTGAGCCAAGTGGAACAAATTAATCACTATGTAAAAACTACTCCAAATGCTTGATTTGTTTACTATGTCTGCCAGCTCAGCCTAACACCATTCAATGCACTACATGATTTCTTCCTTTTCTCCTCCCAGTTATTCAAGTCCAATTTCAAATTGTAAGGAAATAGTATAATCCACAAATTACTAGAAGTCAGAAAATAACTACAAGTTAGCTTCAAGCTTCACTAATCTCTGGGTCTCAATTTCCTAATGTGAAAAATGAGAGTTACACCAAAATTACTATAATGTAAGCCTTTTTGGATGGTCATGGTGGCACTCTGGAGGCTGAGGCAAGATTGCCACGAGGTCAAGGCCAGCCTGGGCTACACAGCAAGTTCAAGGCCAGCCTGAGCTACACTGCAAGATCCTGTCCACAAACAAACAAACAAACAAGTATTAATGGGCATTAGTTAGTATATTATTTTATAATAAATGCTATTGAAACATATGATTTTTAGGTCACAAAGCTCATACTGTTTTACCCTTCTCTCAGCCTTATATTTTAGGCGATCAATAAACATCACCTAGACAGGAATATTAATACTTCTTTAGAGATAAAAGAATTTATTTTTATTTATTTTTTTCTTTAAGGGCTGAAAGCACTTTACTAAGCAACTAGTTAGGCAATCTTATGTGAGGACAGCGTACTTGTGAGAGTTCCCAGAGTTTTGAAAAACTGAAATACTGTGTGAAGGGTTCCTTCATTTTTTTTTTTCCATGTTCATGGGCTTTTATTTTATTTTTATTAATTTTATTGAGAAACAAATAGCAATGAGAGTTTCAAAACTGATTAGTAGGACAGTTTCAATAATTAATACATTGCATATTGTCTTCGAAGTGGTTATTCATGAGATATAAGAATTTAATGAAATCACATATGTAAGGAACCAAGTAAGATTCCTGACATATATTTAATAAATGGTAACTATTATGGTTGTTGTAATAAAAAATCATCTATAATTTGCAATAAGAAAAATTTAGATTTATCCCATAAAACATGTATAGGATTTTGTTCCATTCCTTTTATCCCCAAATTGTTGTAGGTAGATTTATAATCTTCATCAATAAAATCTGAGCTACAGAGAACTATTTAGTTTCTTTTTATTTTTTTAAGGGTGTGTGTGTGTGTGTGTGTGTGTGTGTTGGGTCTCACTACGCAGCTCAGACTTGTAGTGATCCTCCTGATTTCTGCCTCCCTAGTGCTGGGATTACAGACATGCGCCACCATGCCTGGACTCTATTGCCAGTTCAGCGCACCCGGGGTGGACTTGGCACGGCGCTTACCTAAGCAAGTACTTAGTCTGCTGAGCTATCCCACCGGCCCTTCTAGTTTCTTTTTATTTTTTTATTTTTTTTTTTTTTGAAATTTATGTTTTTTTTTTAATATTTATTTATTTATTTATTTAGAGTGTGTGTGGCCTGACCAGCCCACCAGGGGGCGGGGCTGGCTGGCATGTGGTGCTGGGGGATTGAACCGTGGTCTCTGTGTTTTGCTTAGCTTAGCTTGCTCCAAGTAGGTGCTTTAGACCACTGAGCCATCTCACCAGCCCCTTCTAGTTTCTTTTTAAAGAGACTCCTGTCCTTTAGTGACCTTTTGGTCTTTTATAGGCAAACTCTGTTCTCTACGTTCACTTCCAGATGATGTCATCCAGTGTGCAATGCATCCTGCCATCCTCTATTATAAAGTAGGGCAGCACTAGAGGTTGCCAAGGGAAACCAGATAATCATGTGTAATGTGAAATTAAATCATGTCTTCAGTACCTGAGACTTGCTAAAGGGTTTTTCCTTCCTAAATCCTCTGCAGGCTCCCTGCTCAAACACACCAGCAGGCTGCTGGCATGCTGGGGAACTGCAATTCAGTCAAGTTGAAGTAGGGTGCAAATGTATGTGCATAGGAGAGAGTAGGGGTTCAGTGATCAGAGATGAAATTGGAAAGTTGAGAAACTTCTGAGTCTCAAACTAGGACATGAACCCAAAGACTGAAACCATTTAATATAAGAAGTATCACATTTGGCAGCTGGGCATGGTAGTGCTTGCTGCTCCACAGGATGAGGTGGGAGGACTGTGAGCTCCAGGCCTCCTTTGCACAACATAACAAGACTCTAGCTCAAAAAAACAAAATACAAAACAAAACAAAACAAAAAAAACCTAAAGAGGATAATAAAGAAAAAGGAGGGAAGGAAGGGAGAGATGGAGGAAGGGGAGAAAGGAGAGGAAGCAGTAAAGAAAGAGAAAAAGAGATGGTACATGCCTATAATCCCAGCACTCTGGGAAACTGAGAGAAAGGATGATCAAGAGTTCAATCCCAGCCTGGGCAACTTAGCAATTTAAGGAGATCCTATCTCAAAATATAAAAAAGAAAATACGGGCTGGGGAGTAACTCAGGCAAATGCCCTGGGTTCAATGTCTATGTTATGAAAAAGAAAAGTCTAGAAATATTATATATTATATATTTATATATATAAAACAAAGTTCCATGACAGCACAGAAAAGAAACTGGTTTTAAATTTGACCCTTAAACTCATCAAGTCATAATATAATTTTTTTTTTAAAGAGAGAAGGTCTTGCTACGTATTTCAGGCTGGCCTTGAACTCAAACCAATCCTCCTGCCTCAGCCTCCTGAGTGCTGAGATTACAGGCATGTACCACCACACCCAGC